TTCCAGTTCCTATCTGTACCAGTGTACATACTCTGGTCTAGCCAGATTTGTAAGGTAGAATTGGGATCATGATAGTGGGGAGGGGGGGAGGAGGAAGCATTTAGGAAATAGAGGAAAATTGTATGTTTCATTGTTGCTACACTGCACTCAGACTGCCTTGTCTCCTCCCCGCGATCCTTCCTTAAGGGGGTGTCCAAATGCTTACAGACGGGTTTTGGGTCTCCACTCCTGTAGTATTAAGTTAAATTTGGAGGCGTGAGAGGTTAGGGGCCAGCCCCCACCTGCTGCTACTACTACCCACGGGTTCAGTAAGCACAATTGTATGGTTGAGATATATAAGTATTATATTAAAGTCATTGAGAGCATGAGAGATATTACAATAATTTAGACACATTACATGGTAGCATTGCTCACCTCAGCCCAGCTTGATGATCTAGTGGAGAGAGGGGGAAGGGAATGAGGGCAAGGGAACAAGGGAGAGAGGACTGGAGAGGAGAGGGGGAAGTGAGGGGAGCCAGAGAGCGCCCAGAGAGAGAAGTGTGAGAGAGCTCTATATTGCTGACCCACGCCTAGATACCTTTTGGGGGCATGATTATATAATCACACATCACAGGAAGGGGCAGTACAGTAGGCATACACATTGTAGGAAGGGGATCTATGATAGGCATACGCGGAACAGGAAGGGCATGAGCTAGGGGTGTGCCCATAGGAATAGGAAGGTCTAGGGTCATACATGTGACAAGATGGGTAGACCCTAGATTCATAATGGCTACCTATCCTTGGTCATCCTTGGGTGGGTTTGACCTCTCTGGTGTCTCCTACAAGGAAACAGACAACTACTATCCTTATCAGAAGGGAGTGGGCCCTGTTTGTTGTGGGATAAACAGTGGTCTGCTTGGTCTAGATGGCTGATTGCTCTTAGGGAGAATGACCCCTAATCTACTCTTGATGACCTCCAAGTGTACAGTCATTCTCAAGCAGCTAAGTCTGGCATATATTTGGGGAAGACAGCTTGAGAGAAATCCTTCTGTTTCCCACACACACTGCACTCCTCCTCATTCACAGTGATAAGATTTTTTGTTCTGATGATGCCTGATAACTGATCCCTTTGGCACCTCATGATCACACAGGCTGGTGGGCTTTGTTGCTTCTGAGCTAGATGGCCGCTTGTTTACTTTCAAGCCTTTAAGACCCCAGACACTATTTTTTTATAGCTGGGCACCATTAACTCTTCACCACATTTGCTTATGCACCTGCTTTGTCTTCAGCTATAGTGTCTGGAAGGTGAGCATCATGGAATTCCAGTTTAATAGAAGAAAGTATTCTTGCCTTGAGGGAGTACTCGAGTGGAGCCCCAATGACCAGCTGCTACCTTAAAGACTTCACATTTTATTTATGCTCTTTATTTAGTGTTTGAGGCTAAGTTTACACAGTTGTAGAAACAAGCATGTCACTCCCAAGTTCTATGGTCAGATGTTAATTTGGAAGCATATTCTGACTTGTATATCAGGAGATGATGAGCTCAAGATCAACAGTAACACGATAGGTTGACAGTAAGTACAAAGGCAGGGAATTCCAAAGTCAACAGGTCAGATCAGTAAGTCACTTGGCAGAAAACTGATGTTTCCTGGCATCAGCAGTCAATTTGGCACGCTATTGGCTGAAGTCCAAAGAATGACCTCCACTCAGAGTCAGATACAGGTTCTAGACCTAGCAAAAAGCAAGCGAGCCTTTTCACTGTGTACACCTGTATAGGAAATAGGCCACACCCTAAGGAAATTTCCTAACAATTGTGCCAGCACTGTGACATGAATGGGTGGTTTAATTTACCCAGATGTTCTCAGATCTGATTTCCTTTTCAGAGGATCCCATTCTGAAAGTGATTACACTGTGTTAATCCAATCATAGGGTGTTTACTAGGCCTTAACTCCCAAACCATTGAGAATGTTAGACCAGCCCTGTTGACACAAAACCTAACTATCACATTTGGTATTTCATCCATAATAACATTAACAATGAAAGTATCTTTCACTTATTGTGTGAGAGATTATTATGGGTACTTTTATCTATACACATCAGAGAATCACAAAGTGGGTAATATTTTTCCTGGTAAAGAAAAGAATGTTGATATGAAGTCTGACCTGCTATTGATCATTATCATTATCCTTATGTATTTTAGAAATTTGTAGAAATATGGTTTTCTTTTGAAGCCCATTTTTTAGGTAAGCTACTTGTAGGTAATCTTTACTCGAATTCTATCTTGCAAGACTGGCTAGACCAGAGGAGGTACACTGGTACAGATAGGAACTGAAAATACAGGGAATCCAGGATGGATGAGCCCTA